ATATATATATATATATATATATATATATATATATATATATTGAACTCTATTATCAATAAAATTCAAAGACAACTCTACAAGGGGAGTGGCTTTCTGGAACCATTGGAGACATGCCTGGGTTAGACTTTGAGTTATGGGGATAAACCTGCTTGGCTAATTGAGGACCTTAATCATAAGGCACAGTATTAAGAGCAAGGTTTGAATTTAACTTTCTGCAGTGCCACAGCGTAAAAGGGAGAAATTAAAAAATAAATGCATCAGGAGATTTGTCTAATACATGTCATTTTAAAAATCAAAACTATGTTGCCATATATCTGCCAAATCCTTTGCTATTATTGAATTATTTTTTTATAATCACAAAAGATGTTACTATACTGGCGTTTGTTTTTAAAAAGCTGTCGATATTCAACCAGCATGCCTTGGACTTTATTGTGGGAAGACCCTATTATTTAAAAATGGCTCAACTGAAATATATGGAGAATGTGGGGTAAGTCTTATGTTCGCATGTTATTTCATTTGTAAAAATCTATTTGCTTTTGAAATATTTTCCCATGTTTAATCTTTTTTCTTAAATATACTCAGAAAAGATTATGGAGGTATTAATAAAATCTTTGTTCATACTTTCATGTTGAGATTTTTAATGTATTACATCTTTCTTGATAGTCACAGGTATTTTTTTAAAAATTATAATTTTACAGTAAATTCTAATTACTTTTTAAATGCTTTAGTACAGTGACTTGTACAGTAATATAACTTCAGACAATTTCTCTGCAAATTTTTTTACACGATGTTAAAAGTTAGATTTTTAATTAAATGGTAACTATTTAGTAACAAAATAAAAGGAACCCTTTATGAGAATTTTAAAGACATAGCACATAAGATGAGGCTTCTTTTTATTCACTTGGACACTTTTAAAAATTTTTAAATAGCTGCACATACAAAGCAACTGTATTAAACTAAAATATATCTTATAGAATGATTTTTTTGGGGGGTGTTAATATTCTAAAGTACTGTCTGTACATAAAATATGGCTTTTATATATTGTAGGTATGCCCAAGAGGACAGAGAACAAATGCACAGAAGTATTGTCAGCCTTGCACAGAATCTCCAGAACTTTACGATTGGCTCTATCTTGGATTTATGGCTATGCTTCCTCTTGTTTTACACTGGTTCTTCATCGAATGGTACTCTGGGAAAAAGAGGTTAGCACATTCTATGATTGTTTCTGGATGCACCAATGTTGGAATATTTATTTATTTATTTTGGTGGTAGAAATTGAACTCAAGGCCTTGCACATGTTGAGCACATGCTCAACCCAATTTTCATTTAGAAGAATAATTACACTTTTTCTGTTGTTTTTAAAGGTGATAAGCCTGTTTTTCTTTATATTCTGATTAAACTTTACTATAGCAAGAAACTTAATGACAGGAGCATCTGATCGAGAAATGAGAGCTGAGGGTGACATTAGAAAGAAGGACTACATGCCTTATTAAGGAACTCTCTTTTATTTTACTGAAGGACTATTTTTTTTCTCAAAAATAATTCTTATTGTGTCTTTTTTTTTTTTTTATACTGGGGATTGAATTCAGGGGCACTTGACCTTGTGCCATATCCCCAGCCCTGTTTTGTATTTTATATTTAGAGACAGGGTCTCACCAAGTTGCATAGCACCTCACTTTTGCTGAGGCCCACTTTGAACTTGGAATCCTCCTGCCTCAGCCTCCCAAGCTGTTTATTGTGTCTTATCTTCTAAAAAAAAAAAAAAAAACTGGTTATGATTACAAGCTGTTTATTGTTCTATATAAAATACCTTGTAGTTTAATTTAGTGCTAATAATCTAGTATAATGTAGTTAAAAATGGTATTGCTATAACCTAATTATAAAAATTCATATCATTAAGACAACAAATTTATTGAGTAGTGTAGTTTATGTTTGGAAGATCAGGGGAGGAGATGAAGGACAATGATGTGGCTTCTAGTGATAATCTTGTGGGAAGACAAATGTATGCATAATTATAATCACTGTTAGAAATATAATAAAATAGTTATTTTTAAAAATTTTTTAGTTGTTGATGGCTCCTTATTTTTAATTTATTTATTTATATGTGATGCTAAGAATCAAACCCAGTGCCTCACACATGCTAGGCAAACACTTTACCACTGAGCTATAACCCTAGTCCCTAAAAGAGTTAAATGTAATGAAAATTATAAACAAAATTCTCTAGAGTCACAGAAAATGGAAAGATAATTGTACCTGATGGAATCTGAAATATTTCAGAGTAGGTAAAAAGACAGTATGAATAATGGCATGGAAGTATGAAATGTGGGATCTGAGGTGGTCAAAGTATGGGTTGCAAATGAAAGAAAGGTAATATAAAGGAGAGTGGGAAAAGGAGGTTGAGGCCCAAATATGCAGATTCTTGATAAGGATGTGAACTTTATTCTACTAAAATAGGAAGCCAAATTCTTCCTTAGTATGTTTCTGCTCTACTGATTTTCCTTTAACTCCTCCAGCTTCTCAGGACTTTTCCTACTTTATGTCTTTCCTCTACTTGAACCCCCTTTACTCAGCCTGAGAAGTATGGAAGCGAAAAGGAGCATCTGATCGAGAAATGAGAGTTGAGGGAGACATTAGAAAGAAGGACTGCATGAGGCTAGAATATAAAGATGTTTGGGACTGTTGGAGTCCTAGGAACTGAATAAAAGCAGAACTCATCTTGAAGGATACACTCTTTTCCAGATAGTGAAATGTGTTCTCATCCAACATTGGTACAGGAGAATTTAAAGAAATTTAGCATGGCGGGGAATTGTCAAAGGTGCTGGTGAGGAGTGTTTTTCCTGAAAGCCAGAAGAGATTCTGAAGTACAGTCACATACTGCTTAAAAGCAGGGATATGTTCTGACACTGTTAGACACTTTTATCATTGTGCAGACAACAGGACAGCTTCGAGATAAGTAAGCAACACAATCTTACGGGATCATTATCTCATTTGTGGTCCTTCCTTGACTGCAGCGTTACTAGCAGTGCATAACTGTGGTTTCATAGAGGGAATTTTAGAATTGGCCTTCACGTTGTAAAGATCACATAGGTGACTGCAGATGGATTTGAACGAACACCATGACACCATCAAAGAGGATATTTAAGTAATAGCAAGAAGCCGGGCATGGTGGCCCATGCTGGTTGCAAGTTTGAGTTTGGCCTTAGCAATTTAGCAAGACCCTGTCACAAAATAAACAATCAAAAAGGTCTAGGGATGTGGCTCAGTGGTAAGGCACTCCTGGGTTCAATCCTCAGTACCAAAAACAGGAAGAAAGGGAAGGAGGGAGAGAGGAAGGAAGGAAGAGAGGAGGATAGGCAAGAAATAATAAGTTTGGGATTTCTGTCTCTAATGTTTTCCCCTTTGTAAAATGGTCTAGGAGTTCTGCTTCTAACAGTGTTGGCTCATTAGGGGTTTCAAGTGACCCTTGTAAAATAACAGAGGTCCAGAAAGGCCTTACTATTTTATATATTGCTAGTCTCACCAGAGGTAGGGGGAATCTCTGAGAATTCTTCTTTTTTAAAAAACAGAAACTCACACTGGATGACAGGCTGGGAGCAGAGTGATAAAGCAGGTAGTTGGAATGAGAGTGTCTCAGTCCATTTGAGCTGCTATGACATAATACCTTATGTAATTTATAAACAACAGAACTATATTGCTCACAGATCTGGAGGCTGGGAAATTCCAGATCAAGGCTCACTCTGTTTCACAGATGGCACCTTCTTACAGTGTGCTCAGTTAGTAGAAGGGACAAACATGTTCCCTCAGACCTCTTTTATAAGGGGACTAATGCCCTGAGGGCTCCACCCTCATTACCTAATTATTTCTTAATGTCTCTACTTCCTAATTCTGTTGCATTGTCTCTACTTCCTAATTCTGTTGCATTGGGTTTAGGTTTTAGCATATGAATACTGGGGCACATAAACATTCATACCATAGCAAGAAAGTTAAATCACATATTTAAAAACTAATTGGTAGATGTAACAAATAATATATTTGTGCCCCCAAAGGACTGTAGATAATGGATTTGAATTATAGGATAGATAACTGTTACCTCTGTAATTCTTTTTTTTTATATATTTTTTTTAGTTGTAGTTGGACACAGTACCTTCATTTTATTTATTTATTTTTATGGGTGCTGAGGATGGAACCCAGCACCTTGCAGTAGGGGAGCAACTGCAGCCCCTACCTCTGTAATTCTTAAAAGAAATAAAGGATGCAGTCAGAAAGCTGCCCAGTCATCAAGAGATTATCAGAAAAGTGGATTAGAGGAAACAAAGGAACTTCTTAAAATGAAGATGTACACTTGCCATGTTAAAGCAAGGTGATCAGCAGCTTAAACAGTTAAAGATAGTGGATTAGAAAAATTACATATCAAGAAATAATGGAATGTAGTGCTACGAGGGAAGGAGATAGAAAATATGAAATATGTTAAATGGTACTGAGCACAGCCAGGTGCAATAGCTCATGCCTGTAATTTCAGCAACTTGGGAGGTTGAGGCAGGAGGATCATAAGTTCAAAGTCAGCCTCAGCAACTTAGTGAGACCCTAAACAAATTAGTGAGATCCTGCCTCAAAATAAAAAAATAAGTCTACTGCTGAGCCACAACCTCAGCCCCTTCGTCTGTAATTCTTAAAGAAACAAAGGATGCATGGTGGTCCTTGCTGGTTGCAAGTTTGAGGTTGGCCTCAGCAATTTACCCAGGAGTGTTTTACAGCAACATCCCCAGACCTTTTTTATTGTTTGAGGCAGGGTCTTGCCAAATTGCTGAATGTAGCTGGCATTATTATTAAACTGCTGTGTTAATGTTCTTTTTTGTGCTTTTCTATATAAATGTATTTTTCATCAGAATGTTTTGGTTTAATGATATTCCATATATAATATTATTTTATTTTTAGAATTTTAAAAAATTGTTGGCATTCATTTTGATGGATATTTTTTTTTGTAAAAGTATAATAGAAAAGTGTGTTACAAGCCAGATGCAGTGGCATACACCTGTAATCCCAGAAGCTTGGGAGGCTGAGGCATGAGGATCCTGAGTTCAAAGCCAGCCTCAGCAACTTATTGAGAACCTATCTCAAAACTCTGAGGATCATTATAGATTTCATTTGATTCCTGTGATTGGCATGTCCCTTATAGGATCTTGGAAAATATACTTATGAAGTTGCCCCAGGAGAGACTGGCTCCTTGGAGGCAGAAGACTATAAAGACCATATAGAGATGAATTATGTATGAAACTTTTTATAGCAGGAGTGGCATGGCAAGTTAGTTGGGTGAAAGAAATGCATATTCAATAAAATGCTGTTTCTGAGACAATTGGATTTCCATATGGGAATATCTAAAGTTAGATCCTACACAAAAATCTATTCTGGTGAGTTAGAGATTGACATATGAAAAGCAGAACCTTAAAAATTTTAGAAGAAAACATAGGATAATATTTTCTTATATTGGGGTGTAGAAGTATTTGAATAAAGTATTTAAATTGCTGAAGCATTTAACAATCTCTTTGTTAAAAAAATTATCAAAGACAATTGTATTAAAATTTTGAACATGTTCATAAAGATCACAAAGAAAGTGAAAATTGAGCCCACAAACTGAGAGGAAGACATTTGCAACATGTTTAACTAAAGTAGATAAATCATGGTACTGTCACACAGTGGAATCTTACACAGAAGTGAAAATGCTTGAAGCTTAGCTGTGAGCAATGCCATGGACAAATCTTGGAAATGTAATTTTGAATGGGAAAAAAAAGCCCAAAGACTCACATATGATTTAAATGAGCCAAACTGAACAGAGTAATCTTGAAACACTAATGTAATTGGGATGAAAACTATTTAGAAAAAAAAAAAAAAATTTAGTATAATGGATACCACTAGGAGTGTGGAATGGGGAGGAACTAAGAAATAGTTATAAGTTGTTGAGCGTGTTTTAGTTGCTGGGTTAAACAGTGGGCTCTCAGTGTTTATTACATTGTTATACCTAATAACTGACACGTTACATATCATCTTCTATGTACTTATTAAGGTAATTTAAAATGATGCATAGATAACTACAAAAATTTAATAACAATTTGGCAGCATAATAAAGATATAAAGTAGATACCTAATTTCTGCTCTTCTGTTACACCTTTAAATAATATTAGCATAGTATCCTCTGGGATATGAATATCCTTTTTCAGAAAATAAGGGAACACTCTTCTCAAGTAGTTTTCTTATATGTTTGGCTTTTCTGATCTCTTTAGAAGATTTTTTAGTTTTAGGATCTTGCAGTGAAATTTTTTTTTCTAGAATCAAAATCTTGAAACATGTACTTTGTTTTATTAAAGCCATCTCAATATTGAAATTTTTCTGGAAATCATGCCTCTCTGTTTTTCTAGCTCCAGTGCACTTTTCCAACATGTCACTGCATTATTTGAATGCAGTATGGCAGCTATCATCACCTTACTTGTGAGTGATCCTGTTGGTGTTCTTTATATCCGTTCATGTCGAGTATTGATGCTTTCTGATTGGTACACGATGCTTTACAACCCAAGTCCAGATTATGTTACCACAGTACACTGTACTCATGAAGCTGTCTACCCACTGTAAGTATTTATTTAGACTTAAGGTCAGTTAAAAAACTCTGAGGATCATTATAGGTTTCATTTGTTTCAACAGATTGAACATTATAAAAACAGCTTCTAGGTACTGGGGAAGATATATTGAAATTATTTCTTTTCTCTTAGAGCATACAGAGTGTTATAGGAGGAAATATAAATAAATCTCAGTATAATAGAAGGGAAAGCATTTTTATATTGTTGTTGAAATATATATAAGTACTTCTAAAATAAGATTTATATGTTTCCTAGAGTTTTTTTTAAGAGTTATAAGGAAAAAATTTGATGCAGAGATGCAGTGTCTGACATACAAGAGTATATGCTTTGAAGATAAAAATGTTAGGTTTGAATTCTGAGTTTGACAGCTGTTATGTTAGCACAGCATGTTAACAGCCTCTAGTAATCTCAGGTTTCCCATTGGTGAAATGGCAAAACCATTATGCGAGAATTAAATGAATCCATACATATTTGCCTTCCACGGCACCTAAATGTAGTTGGCATTATTAGACTGCTTGAGTTAATGTTCTTTTTGTGCTTTTCTAAATAAATGTAATTTTCATCATAATGTTTTGGTTTAATGATATCAAATTAGTAAAATTCCATATATAATATTATTTTATTTTTAGAATTTTTATAAATTGTTGGCATTCATTTTGATGGATTATTCTTTTTTTTTTGTAAAAGTATAAAGAAAAGTGTTACAAGCCAGGTGCAGTGGCATAAGCCTGTAATACCAGAGGCTTGGGAGGCTAAGACATGAGGATCATGAATTCAAAGCCAGCCTCAGAAACTTAGTGAGACCATGTCTCAAAATTAAAAATCTATATATAAAAAAGGGATGGGGATATGGCTCAGTGGTTAGGAACCCCTAGGTTTAATTCCAGGTACAAAAAAACAAAAGAAAAGAAGCAAAGTGTGTTACTTTGTTCTCTTAACTGTAGCAAATTTCTATTACATAATATGTTCAATGAAATTTGTCCTTTTGATCAAGTTCTTAATATTAAAGTGTCAAAAACCTACATATGCATATATGTAAAAAGGTGAAACAAGATACAGATGTAGCAATATGAAAATCATCTTTTCCACTGCCAACCTGTATAAATAAAAGACTGATAATGTCCTCTTTCATTCACTATTTCATAGGGTTACAACCCTGAACTTCAGATATTCTCTTGTTATATGCTATCCTGAGGACTTGCAGAATTTAACCTAGTTCTATTTAGGAAACTTAAGAACTGATTGGTTATCACATTTAAATAAGATATGTAGTTACTTATTTAAAATAAAATCAGACTCATTTACTACTAGTCATATGTATGGTATTTATTATAGAAATATCAGATTAGAAGAGAGACAGCAACAAGATACTCCCAGCCCTCATTCTGCACCCATGATAGACACTTCTAATTTCAAACTCTATTGGCTCTCAAAAATTAGTGGGGATAAAAAAGTCAAGTCGAATTGCAGAATTTTGTTAATTTTGGGTGAGCCACAATGAGTGGCATTATAAAATTATGCGATAAAAATGCAAACATACCAGCTATGCCAGGTGAAAAGTCAAGGTAATTAATTCAATTATAGGTTATTATTTAAGAGACCTCATGGCTTGTCATCTGCCTATCAAGCTAGTTATACACTGTAGAATATTCTCCAGGAAAATCAAAGCACTGTTTTACTGCTTTCTCTTGTTCTATTGTTTTGTTAATAAAATTAATTCAGAGTTACTTTAAGGTAAATAATAATATAGTAAACAAAACAAAAACCCTAAATAAGGGGAGGGTTGAACAATAGAGGCATGTATTTTACAAGCTTTGTTGGTTTGCTTTTGATTTTATTCTTAGATGACTGAATTTGAAAATATGTAAAATGCAAGTCAAATAACTCCATATTTTCCGAACTACTTATCTATATCATAATTAAAAATATTTACATCTGTTTTTGTTTCCATTGAATTTTAATATTTATTTTTTAATACATGAAATTGTACATGATATTAGGTACCTCATGACGTTTCTATACATATGTACATCATGTGATGCATTTTTAATGTCTGCACAATATTCCAGCATGAATATACTATAGAATTAACCAGTTTTCTATTGTCGAGTATTTATTTTCTTCCCGAGTTTTCTTTTTTATAAGTGACTCAATAAAAACATTTATACATAAGGTTTATTTTGTGTATCATGGGTTGTTTCCCTTTGATAAATAAATAAGTAAATTTGCTAGGTCAAAGACTATAAAATAAAATTTTTAGGATTTTTGATGCATATTTCCAAAATGCCAGGAAAGAAACCAGTGTACACTTGTATGTTGGCCAACCTTCTGCAATCTGAATATCTGATGGGTAGACTTACTATACTTTTTAAACCTGTTTTAGAATCTTTGATTTTAAAATATCAAGGACAAAAACACCTTTAAACATATTTTGATGGTACACATTCCCGATTATATCTTACAGGTACACCATTGTATTTATCTATTATGCATTCTGTTTGGTATTAATGATGCTGCTTCGACCTCTTCTGGTGAAGAAGATTGCATGTGGGTTAGGGAAGTCTGATAGATTTAAAAGTATTTATGCTGCACTGTACTTCTTCCCAATTTTAACTGTGCTTCAGGCAGTTGGCGGAGGCCTTCTATGTAAGTATGATGAGGAAAGGTAATGATATTTATTTATTATTATGTGTAATAAACAGTGTTTTTTCTTAATTTTGTAGCTTTTTTTAAGCTCATTTTTTAATCCTTAAAAAGAAGCTTTAGTGTGTGTGTGTGTGTGTGTACACACACATATATAGTGATTCTGGGGATTGAACTCAGGGCTTCATGTATGCTAGGGAAGGATAATAGCCCAGTGGAAGATGAACTGTCAGAGGAGGGGAGCCTGGGAGATCAGTTAAGAGATGATTGCAGTAAGCCAAGAATGACTGTCTGACCTAAGGCAGAGAAGTACTGGGAATGAGGAGCTATTTAAGAGGAGGGAATAACACATTGAATATAGGGGCTAAAGGAGTGGATGAGACTAGGATAAAGTAGCCTTCTTAGTTGCTGGTGGGTGGATAAACAGTGAACATTAGAGGAAACAAATACGGTGGTAGATGTGAATTCAGTATCCAAAAGGTTACAGGTAGTAGTGTTTTCCAGTCTGGAATTTGGGAGAGCTACCTAAGCTGGAAAGAGTTAAGAATTGGCAGCCCTCAATTTCCTCTGCCTTAGATTTTTGGTGCTATTATGCTTAAGCTCTTGGTTATGAAATGGAGGAAAGAGAGAGGCTGTGAAAGGCAGGAAAAGGTTTGGAAACCCACAGAGACTGCCAAACACCATTGCTTTCTATATCACAGCTGCCTATATTGAAAAAATTTGCTTTTTCACACTGAATGGTTTTTACTCATTTTGTTAACAGGCCACCACTCGGAACACATTTAAGGGAAAGATCAAGGTGTTAATATTCCTTTGCACTAAGTATAAACTTAGGCAGTCTGCTGAGAATAGTCACAGAGGGCTTTTACCAACTCAATTTTATAATGTTGGAAAAAAATTAAATATTTTTTGGTTCATAGAGGATATAATGAGTCTGAGCAAAGTAGAACAGCAGGATGCTTCTTATAGCTATGACACCTGGGGATTGAGGTCCAGAGAGAAATGTACTGGGAGCGATTGGAACACTGTCAGTTACAAACTTTTACCTGTTTGGAAGTATTATCAAAGCTGGCTTTTAAGTGTGATCTGCTTCTGACTCATGAGGGAAACCTGCATGCAGATTCCCAGGCCCTATCCCAGATCTAGGTTCATAGAGTCTCAGACCTAGGTTCATAGTTTTACACACTAGGGTTTAAAGACCACTTTGATTCCTGCCACCAGCCAAGTACCTCACTCTATCCCCTTCCTTAAAACTTCCTCTTCTTCCTTTTTACCTCATATGGCTTTTTACTGCACAGTCTTAAAATTTGTATCATTAGCAACATCCTTTAGCTTCTTATGAATTAAATGGTATTGGGTTTTGTTTTTGTTTTTGTTTTTGTCATGACTGTTTGAGGACCCAGTCACTGTATCCTGAAAAGTTCTAACTGTCAAACAAGTCATTCAGCTCTTTAGTAAACTGAAATAAGCCCTGTATGGATAGTTCAGCATCAGCATCCTGAATTAACATTTGCAATTGTTCCAAATGAATTGTAGAATGGTTAATAGCTTCCTAAATTAAAGTAATTTTTAGGGATCTGGGGTTGTGGCTCAGTGGTAGAGCACTCGTCTAGCATGTGTGAGGTCCTGGGTTCGATCCTCAGCATCACATAAAAAAAAAAATAAATAAATATATAAAGGCTTAAAAAAATAAAGTCATTTTAAAATAATTATACAAAAATAATTCATAGTATATTTTTAATTTGTTTTTGTGTGTTCTAAATTTCAAAGAGTGCTAGTGTTGTGTAGGAAAAATTTTGCTTAAAATATTACTGTACTGAACGTGGAGTAGAAATTTCAAAAATTTATTACTATAATGCTGAAAGATCTATTAACCCTTTGAAATTTATTGGTAAATGAACTTTTCTAAAAACTAATTAAAGCTTATGTAGCTAAAGATAGTCTTTCTCAACCAATGCTCCCCTTCTGGGCCACAAAGCACAGAAAATTGTTTGAGTAACTATTTTCTCAATTCTCCCAAGTTTAGTATATAACTGGTACCATTCCAGATGCACAGGAGGAATTTAATTCTTTTCATTCAATGGATGCCTTAGGCAGTGATCTTTCAAAGCTGGACCAAGGATAGGTATTGCATTTCTAAGGGATTAGAAAAAAATCAAAAGATTTTTATTCATTGATATGTGCAAATCATATGACATTCAAATGTTAGTGTCTGCAAAGTTTTCTTGGAACACAGACATGCCCATTTACGTATATATTATCTATGACTGTTTTCCAGCTACAACTGTATAGTTAGGTAATTAAAACAGAGTCACACTTGCCTTTCCAGCAAAGCCAAAAGTGTTGCAGAAAAGGGTTGCTGATCCCTGTCTCAGGACATTGGGACTCAAATCTCACAGAACTAGTTGAAAAAGAATTTGACCTAGGGAGAATTATACTGAATTTATTGGATGGTTTATTCAGAAATCTGTTTAATTTCCAACAATAATACTGATGCTTGTCTTTCAGATTATGCCTTCCCATATATTATATTAGTGTTATCTTTGTTCACTCTGGCTGTATACATGTCGGCTTCTGAAATAGAGGTAGGAAATGTTTTTTTCCTTTGTTAAAGATACTCTAAAACAAATCTGACAATAAAATAGTACATATGATGTGATAAGGTACAACTAATTGTTTCAGTAATCCTTGGCTAATTGGTGTCATTGGTAGCTTTTAGATTGTTATCTAAGTTTCTGGAAGGCTGTGTGTGCTGCTCCATTATGTTTCCTTGGGAAATTGGTGACATAGTAAAGGTTTCCCTATTCCAGCACAGTGAAAAAAAATCATTTCACATAATTTACTCACATAGCAACCATTTAACTATCAAAATGTTGGAACTTAACACTATTTTGAGAGAAATATAAAAGTGCTTTGCTGCTGCATGTTGAATTAATTTTAAAACTTTATTATGCATTCTATAATCTATGTTTTCTCACTCTTTATTCACACTTTGTCCTATAAAGTCTATAATATTTTGGTGATTTGGAAATCACAATGATAGACAAACTAGTTCTGATTCTGTTTCCTTTTTTGAGACATTGTTTTTGTGCCTTAAACTTTCTGATATTTCAGTGGAAGACCATTGTTATAAGGAACTCTATTTTTGTTATTTTTAATTTTATACTTGTTTGTATTTTCAGAATATTTTTGACCAAAGAAGCATATTTTGACTAATTTATAGGTTGATGGAATAGAATAGAATATTCTATGTCTTCATATATTTAAAATTTTCTATTTTTAAAGAACTAAGCTATTGTCAACCAAAAATTGAGAAGAGTGTATTTGACTCTTTAAATTGGGAAAATTGTATTAATTAAAATTTTAATTATTTTTTCCACAATATTTGTTCACATACAATCTTCTGAAATTTTCTTTCTAAAATAATTGCCTGGATGTCTTCTGATTATTTTTTAATATGTCACATTTAAATGATTGCTATCAAATACCTGTCTCTCATTTAAGAACTCTATTTTGAGGCTAAACCCTAAAGGAATAAAGGTATAAGGTCTTAGACTCTTCCATCCTGTGCTTGCTGATGTAGTGTCTGTGATCTGTCTTAAACTGCTCATGACAGTGGATAAGAAATGTGCTTTTTCATGGTTTGTAGCATAAAAAAGACCAAAGAAAATAAGTTGTTAACTATTTTTGAGTGGTACATTAATGAAAAAATGGTGGTGGGTGCTAGAAATCATAGTAGCTTTCAGGTAGAGTAATAGCAAAAGAACTTCTGATAGTGACTATTCAGTTGTTCCCATTTGTAGGCTATCCTCATTTCTCATTTGTAATATTTAATCATTGTTTCATTAAGATTAATCAAAGAAGATAGGACATTAGTTTTTTTTTGGGGGGGGGTGGTGGAGGGCGACTACCAGGATTGAACTCATGGGCACTCAGCCACTGAGCCACATCCCCAGCCCTATTTTGTGTTTTATTTAGAGACAGGGTCTCAGTGAGTTGCTAGTGCTTCACTGGTGCTGTAGCTGGCTTTGAACTCTCAATCCTCCTGCCTCAGTCTCCGAGCTGCTAGGATTACAGGCATGTGCCACCACACTGTGTAGAAAGTTATTTTTGACACGTTTATCAACTGCAGGGAAAGGTTCTAGGGAAGAGATTTTGAATATTTAAATAAAATGAGGTTTTTGAATTTTTATTTGTTCTTCATAGTGAAGAATTAGCTATACATTTCTAAATTAGCTTCAGACTATAATTCTCTGACCCTGTGACTCTCTCCTATGTCAAATGTTCACATACTTTAATTGGTCCTCTACATATGAATCAGAAATAGGGAACTGAATCAAGGAAAGAATCTAGTTCTAGGTGAGTTGATAAGTCATGTAATGATAAAGAGAAAGTTGGTGACAAACCCTTTATAAATTGTATATCAGTGTGTTTATCAGCACATTTAGATGCTTCTTTCATAGGAATTTGATCCTTCCAGTTTCTGCAGACTGTAGAACATGATTAAAAATTAAAAGAAAGTTAGAGTATTTACGCGTCATTTCTGCTGTCTTCTAATGGTTCAGGCAGCAGCCTCCAGGATTGCTAGAGGCTGAGGGAGTTGCGTTTATGTACCTCCTATCCCACCTATAAACTCATAGCTACAGTGGATCAGGGCAAGAAGAAAGCACATGGTATGGGATTCCTCTTTCTAGTTCATATCTTCTATGAAATACCACAGTCCCTTCTAGAAGGGAGCTAATTGTGATGTAGACTTCAGTGCTTTTATAACTGAAGGAAACCTCAAGTTCCTCATCTGTAAAATGAATGGGTAAACCAGGTGACTCATTAAGTCCTTTTTAACTCAAATATTATATTATATGACTTGGTTTGAAAACGAACTATTTAGCCGATTCATCCTGATAATCTGTATTTCTATTTTCTCTGTTTTATAAAATTATATAGAACTGCTATGATCTTCTGGTCAGGAAGAAAAGACTAATTGTTCTCTTCAGCCACTGGTTACTTCATGCCTATGGGATAATCTCCATTTCCAGAGTGGATAAGCTTGAGCAAGATCTGCCCCTTTTGGCTTTGGTACCTACACCAGCCCTTTTTTACTTGTTCACTTCAAAATTTACAGAACCTTCACGGATACTCTCAGAAGGAGCTAATGGACATTGAATATAAAATGCCAAAAAACCCAAAAAGTGTTCTTAATAAAGAATAAAGAAATTTAATAAAAATGCATTAGAATTATTCTGTCACACATGGGAACAAGATTGTCAGTCAGTCTATCTTAATGTTTGTTTTTGTTTGTTTGGTTGGTTGGTTTTGTTTTTGACTTAACAGACTTTATGGTTAGACATGGAAAATATGAAATACCATAATACTCTGTTGCATAGTATAATACTATCTACCACACTAGAAGCCTAAACTAAACTTCTGAGGAAGTTTCAGCTGTTCTTAGAGCGTAATCATGTTTCTGTGTACTTGGTAGCAAATGTTTCTGTGTACTTGATAGCAATGGCCTGTTCACTTTTTAGTAAGAAAAACTTTAATAAGTATAATCAGAAATCCCTAGCAGTGACATAATTGTGCATGCCTGTTGTGTTTCAATTTGTTTTTCACCTATAATGGGTTACAAAGACAAACATATTTGTGGGGTCTGACAGCAAATGTGGAAATAAAGTATTGTTTTTTGTTATCTATTTATTTTCACCAATACAGTATTTTGATAATACAGAAATAGAGCATAATTTATGTAACAGGTTTTCTGTTTATAATTTGAAGACACGTTCAGATTATTGTTCCTGTAAAGAAAATAATAAAAAGCTTAACTACAAAAAACTCAAATGTTCTGAAATTTGTTTTTTACCACACTAATTATAGAAATAATTAAAATGTTATATATTAAATTTAGTCTCTTCCCAAATGAATAAGTAATATAGTCATATATTTCTTTTCTTATATCTTACTATCTTGTATCTTTATCATCCTTTTTTTGTTGATCCTGAGACACATCTTCTTGCATTGTGACATTTCTGAATTAGGATACATCTTATAACTGACAGCTTCTCAGATTTAATTAAACCCAGAATGTAAACGGTTTTTCTGTGGTTGGTTTTTGTTAGGTATACAGTGATGTTTATCCTCTGAAGGCTTCAAGAGACTCATGGTCTAAGCCATGGAAGCAAAATAAAATATTTAGCACTTATAATCTGGCTATGCTCCATTTATATTGTTTAGAAGGTCTTCACTGATTCTGCCAGTATGTGGGATTTGACTATTACATCTCAAACTTAGAACACTTCTATTAACAGTTACAACATATGAAAATAAGTGCACTCATTTCTCCTGTGGTTTTGTTTTTACCTTTCAAATTCATAGCAGTTGTGTCCTTCAGTTATTTTGAGAAGTACTTCTTTGTTAATGCCTTTTCCCTAGGACATTCAGGTGTTGTTTGGAAATGGACTCTTTTTTTATGCTTTAGTTTCTTCTTTTCTGTAGGAATAAAAATAAAATTTTAAATTCTATTTGCATTTCATATAGGTTTGGTGATTATTAGTGTACATTAAAATCCTGAGTTGCCCAAAGAATCCTCCACTGGAAAATTATGTAACTGGATATATGGGGGGGGGTTACATGAATCTGATTACCAGGACTATATCTTCAGGTCCCACTATATGTGAGGCCATTTTAACAATCACCTTTTCAGATATCCTGTTCTAACAGAAAAATATCTGTGCAAAAGGAGAAATCATGCAAGAAATTATTACAAGTCCTCAGAGGCAAAGAATTCATGAATACGTAATATCTGTGTTTTAGATTTGATTTCATAAACCCAAGACAATTGGAATTCAGAGTCACTATGGTTGTTGATGTTACTAAGTAATTTGAAAAATGTGATCATTGAATACAAAACAAATTTCCTAGCTCAGCGATGTTAAGTTTCAATTTAGGAGTTTATAGCATATTACCTTTCTTGCTGCTTAGTGTATGGTAATAATTTTGCAAATCAGTTCTGAATACTTTAAAAGTCAAAATATTATATTGATTCATTTGGGTCAATTGATAAATTTAGTAACTACATTGTTATACATTTGTCTAAATGTATTGGTTTGTAAGACATTGAAACCTCAGGAGAAGTTTTTAAACTTCTTCGACCTCTAGACATTCATGTTGAATTGGTTTGGGGAGCATCCTGAGCCTGGGATATTTTCAAATTTCCACCTGATTTTAACATTTGAGAATCACTGGTCTAAACTCTTCATTGTTTAGTTCCCAATTGTTCCAGAAGACCTTTGACAATTATGGGCCATATGATTTTGTTTTTTTCTCCCCCCAAATTTGATCCTCCTGTAATTAGAAAATTATAAATGGGTTCTTTCCCAGAATTAAACAATCACTAAAAGATAACTGACAGTTATATGAATGATTTTTTTGGTATTTTAATATGTCCTCTTTAAAAAGTCTTCTGGAGAGCATGTATTAAGATATTTGTTTAATACTCAAATTATCTGTAACTATATGGTATACTCAAGGGCTTCGGGAATATTTTTTAAAAATTCTTTTTAACACTTTAAAAATAATCTGTATTAAATCACTATGTACTATGACTTAGGTATGTACTAAGAAATAACTTACTTATCTTTTATTTACAAGAAAGAAAAGCAAAAAGTTAATGGTCTTAGTTCTCAGAAGTCTGGCATTTAGGGATATGGCAGATGATCCCCCACTCTTTCCAACTGGCACCCCTAGCTGATCCCCATGCAGTCAAGTTACTGGCATTCTTGGCCAGCTCATGTCTATGCTACTCCTTCCAGAAGACACCTATGTGCTCCCAGCAATACTCAAGAGATTTGCCATCCCATAGCCACATAATAGAAGAGATCCACTTTATTCTAATCATATCCTGGCTTGTCTGATTTTCACAGGGTGTGCACTTCAAGGTTCAGGGATGAGTTTTATTCAACTTTGTCACTGCAACATCTGGTCTAGAGCCAGGCTGAGGGCACTTTAGTGAAGCCATCACAGTAGTCATAAAGGAGGGCAGGATCTACAGGGCTGCAGTGATATCTTGTGTTCCTTCACTGGGAGAAGCCATTCAACAGGGGACATTCAAAGGTTAGATTGCAGGTGGCTCAGAGATGATCAAGTAATACAAGGTTCAAATTTTATTCTTACCTTCCCCAGGAAGGTGGTAGATTTCAGGGATATAATGAATAACTTATGGGTTAAAGCTTATGTTTTAAAACTCCTGTTAATTATCACCAAATTATTTTATTACTGGGGACCCAGAGGAGCAGAAGTTAAATTAAGAAGCAGAACTGAGATTCAAACCTACACCTTCCTGCGCCCAACCCCACACACCAGTGCCTCAGAAGCAGAGCTACATAGATCTATGGGAAGCCAGAAACTGCCTTCAGATCTCAGCTCCATCTCCAGTTTCTCAAGAGATATCTCTCTCTCTTGATTCCTCAACCAAGTTTTCTCACTCCTAGGTTCTTTCATACTTCTGCCCCACCTTCAGTACCCTCGGGATTTTATATGTATCTCTACCATACCTGATTCTCCAACTGTACCAAAGTGGGCAAGTTACATCTTAAGGGTAATTCTGCTACAGTGGTAGAGATAAGCCATTGCTACAGAGATCTCATGACTGGCAAAACCAAAAAAATATTTATTATCTGGCCTTTTACAGGAAAAGTTTGTCAACCTCTGTACTGGACTGTGAGTTCCATTTAGGTAGGGACTGTATTTGTTTATTTCACCATTGTAAACAAGATGTCTTAACAATGCTTGGCATACAACAGGCCTCCGTAAATACTTGTAAATATAGTTTAGCATCAGCAGTAACCTGTGATGTGAAACCTAAAAAACAGGAGAATTTTCAAAGTATCTCTATATCCGATTATCAATATTTTATTGACTACAAATAGTATTGAATTTTAAAACGAAATTCTGCCAGTCAATAACCTATTGAATAAAAATATATTTTCAATAAAATGTATATTTTTTCATAAAACTGACATTCTTTTCATTTTCAGTGAAAATTTTATTTTACCTGGATGGGTCATTGTTTAACAGTTTGCTCATCATTGTGTGGCTTAGAACAAAGAAGTCAGCCTTTATTTTCCCCTTCTCAGCCTATGTGATCCTTAGGGCTTACCAGCAGAGCTCACTGTGACCCTCTCTGAGTAACCAGGGGTTGGCAACTTTTTCCTATTCAGTGCCAAATAGTGAATATTTTAGGCTTGGTAGGACACATAGCCTTTCTCAGGGAGTGTGGCTATGTGTCTATAAAATGTATGGACACAGAAATTTGAATTTAATGTAGTTTTATGATGTCATGAAACATTATCATTCTTTTGGGTTCTTCCAATCATTTAAAGGTATAAAACCCACTCTTAGTTCTGGGCCCTATGAAAATAGGAGAAGGGCTGGTTTGGTCCCAGGCTATAGTATACCAACCCCTGTAGCAGACAATAGACTTGCCCAGGAATCTTCACAACATTCTTGACATCTAGAAAATGGGAAGCAACTGAGAATATGGGGAGGAGTTCAAAACTAAATATCTCCAAGCTTTAATTTTGCTAGTTTTAGCAGTCTTAAATCTTACCTCAGTGTCTGGGGTTTGGTGTTGCTAATGTCAACTTGAAGACACATTTTGATTATGAGATATTCAGGTCATTGATATCTAAATTTTTTTGTCCTTCCATCTATGTCATGTGTCCTAAGTTATATATATAAAATTTAGCTCTTTAAACTAGTTGATCTACAGTGACTGGGCTGGCCAGGCCTAGCAAAGGAAATGCAAAGAGAAGCAAAACCCACCAGGGATTCCTTATGCACTTGGACATCCCCAGGATCCCCAAGGACTATTGGAACAACTGATGGGTACATGACCCACAAAGTTCTGCACTGGCTGCTGAAACAGTGTTTCATGTTAAGCAAAGCCCCCAGAAAAGAGGTTTTACCACATGCTATTTTTAATCCTATCACTTTCTCTCATTCTATTTTTATCCCATTTCATTTTCTAGAGGCTACCTTTAAGACAGTGTATTTAGCCGTTAAGCTCCTTAAAATCAAACCTGAATAACCTCATAGAGCTCTACAGTTTCCAGATTATGTTATTTTCATTCATCATCCCATCTCTCCTCTATATTCTGTTCTTCCTTCTCCCCAACTCGCTGCACCCATGTCCCACCTTTCCAGGTATCTCTGCCCCTGGGACTCTTAGATTGTGCTGGTACTAGGCTTCACCTCCATTTCCAACAGCAGCTCTAATTGGGACAGAGCTTTGGGGCCTGCAGGCTTGAAGATGAAGCTGATACACCACTGGAGAGACTGGGCTGCTTGCTTAGAGGCAAATAAACATGTTAAAGCCTCAGAAGCCCCTGAAGCCATCACTAGATTTTTCAGAGGAGTCAACAGTTACAGTTATAGTTTTCAGTGCTAAATTGAGTTCAGGAAGAAAAGGGGAAATTATATTCAATTTCTTTTGTTTAACAAGACAAGGATGTATGTAATAAGTTTAAAAAGAACTTCTCTGAAAAATATTTTTTAAGAGTGTTTTTTAAAAAATCACAAGGAAGTAAAGACTCAGTTATCTAGAGTATTCTTTTGTGTGGAAGGAGAATTGGCAAATATTTCTATACTACTGCATTCAACCTGTAAGCTAGTATAAATGTTCAACTGGGTATTTGTGACATTATTGGGGATGAGTTTACTTGGCACTCTTGCTTGCCTCTTTTGATGTTACCAGCTATAGTAAAAGATCTCTAGAAACACAAAACTGTTGCTTACTGATAAGGTCTGTTGGTAATTCCTGGTTCATAAGAGAACGCAG